CGGCTAGTTTTTTTGATTTATTGTAGAGATAAGGTCTCGCCAAGTTGCCCAGGCGGGTCTCAAACCCGCAGGCTCAGGCAGTCCACTCACCTCAGCCTCCCAGAGCACGGGATTACAGGCTGAGCCACCAAGCCCAACTGAGCTTTACATTTCTTAACTCATCGAATCCTCACAGTAACCCCACTTTTCAGACGGAGACATGTGTCCTTAATTGCAATACTATGTTGCCTTTAAAGTTTGCTTGTATTGTTGCAATCTTTTTAGCACTATTGGTGTCAAGAAAGAAAACAGTCACAAGCATCTTTTAATTTCCAGGGCCCAGAATGTGTTCAGTATCTTCAGCAGGAATACCTGCCCTCCCTGCAAGTAGCACCAGAGATCATTCAGGTAAGAGCGTTTCCCCATCGTGTAGGTGAGAGACCGCAGTAGAAGCAGCACTGGCTATGACACGGTCGTTATTTTCATATCACATAGGTCAATGCGGGTATCTCAAGTTACCATTTATGTTTATCGCTGTTTTGAAATGATGAGTCATTAGGTAATGGCATGCCTTGTTACCTCATGAACTAGAAAGTGTTATTATTCACCATATTTTAAACATTTTGATAACTCTTCTTCATTATCATTGGCTTCTGTTGTAATCTCATGTGTTAATAGTGTTTGCATTAAAAAGAAATTCTGAAAGGTGTCCAACCAGACTTTCCCAGACTGCTGGAGGGGCCCCCAGTGATTGTGGAAAGGACGCCCAGTTGTTGATGCAGCATAGAGCATAGATTGAGGAGAGGGATTGACTTCAGGTTTATTTTTCTTCTCTGGAGATTTGTGCCAGGTTGTTAGTTCATCGTGCATGTGCCAAGCTTATCAGTGCTTAGTTTGGAAATCTGAAACTCTATTTCGGGGACGTGTCTGGAAAGGAACCTCAGACTTCTCCAAAGCCATGTGTGTTGTAGTGTTTCTTGGCGTATGGTTTTCCAGACTTCTTGCCAGTCATACGTGGAGCTAGGGAGGTGTGAACTTTTGATTAAAACTAGAATTATAGGCCGGGCTAGTGGCCTAGCCTGTAATCCCACACTTTGGGAGGCCGAGGTGAGTGAATTGCGTGAGCCCACGAGTTCAAGACCCACCTGGGCAACTTGACGAGACCCCATCTCTACAATAAATCAAAAATTAGCCGGGCGTGGTAGTGCGTGCCTGTAGTTCCAGCTACTTGGAAGGCAGAGGTGGAAGGATCACCGGAGCCCAGCAGGTCGAGGCTGCGGTGGCTGGGAGTGGCCACTGCACTCCAATCTGGGTGACAGAGTGAGACTCCAACTCAAAAAAACAACAACAAAACTAGAATTACAGTCTCCTGTGTCATTGCTAAGATTTGTTTCTTCATCAACAGTGTTCTTGTTTTATTTCATCTTATTGCAGGAGCACTTGACATGAGATAAACCTTCACAGCTGCTTCAATGCACAAGACTGTATTTCTCATTACGGGGCAGTGTCGCACCCGTCCAGCATCGACCAGGTCTCGTGGCCATATTCCTCTCGAGCCGTGGAGACTGTACCTGTGGGTTAACGGTTCCTGCTTCCTCCTCCTCCCTCCCCTGGTACCCACCATTCTAGTCTCTGGTTTGATGAGCTGGACTATTTAGATGCCTCACATAAGTGGAAGTACACAGTTATTTCTCTTATTGGGACCGACTGGTCCACTCAGCGTAACGTCCTCCTCGTGCAGCCACGCTGCTGCCGATGGCAAGGTACCCTTGTTTTCTAAGGCTGGAAGTGTGCCATGGTGATCCAGACCACGTTTCCTTTGTCCTCTCATCCATGATGGACATCTCGGTTATTTCCACATCTTGGCTATCGTGCATGATTCTGCCACGAACACTGGAGTGCTCCCATGTCCTCGAGACCCTGATGTAGTTCTGTTGAATAAATACCCAGAAGTGGGACTGCCGGATCTCACCGTAGTTCCATCTCTGATTTTTCCAGGAACCTTCATGCTGTTTTCCATAGCGGCTTCACCATTTAGCATGTCTATCGATAGCAACGTCATAACACAGTAACAAGGGTTCCTGTTTCTCCACGTCCTCACCAGCACTTATCTTGGCTCTTTTTAAGACGAGCTGTCCTAACAAGTGTGAGGTGGTGCCTCGCTGTGGTTTTGATTTGTATTTCCGCAGTGATGAGTGGTGACTCAAGTCTTTATTCCCTTTTCTAACTAGGTTATTTGGTTTTGGGCTAGTGAATTGCAGGAGCCCCTTGCTTGTTGGAGGTTAGCCCCTTATCAGATATGCAGTCTTGCGTGTCCTCTGCCGCTCTTCAGCCATCCCACAGGCTGCCCTTCCGCTCTGGGGTGGCTCCCTGCGCAGAAGTGTCTAAGTTGGATGGAGCCCGTTGGTCTGCTTTTGCTTTTGTTGCCTGTGCTTTTTCATATTGATGAAGTCATTGTCAAAGCCAGTGTCATGAAGCTTCTCCCATTTTCTTGTAGGAGTTTTGCAGCTTTAGGCCTTACGTTTTAAGTCTTTGGTGCATTTTGAGTAGATTTTTGCTTATGGTATAAGATAAGGGTCCAGCTGTATTCTTTTGCATGTGAATAGCTAGTTTTCCTGGCGCCATTTGTTGAAGCCCTTGTTGAAAATCAGTAGACTGTATCTGCATGAGTTGATTTCCATGTTCTCCTCCCTTCTATCGGTCTACAAAAGAGACAGGTTCTTGGGGTGGGGGGCAAGGGGGACATGTGATAATACAAAGGGGCCCTAGTCCTAAACTAGGGGAAGTGAGGACCAGTTGGAGGTCCGAACTCCGCTTGCACATACATTACCCATGTGCCTAATCCCACCTTGTACCCTATGTCTTTATAATAAAATAAAGTAAAAAGAGAGAGAGAGAGAGAGAGTCAGGTTTTTGCTCTACCCAGACTGGAGTACACTGCAGCCTCAAAGTCTTGAGTTCTCGGGATCCTCCTGCTTCAGCCTCCCAAGTAGCTAGGATATGTCTGTCTGTATGCCAATACCATTCTGTTTTAACGATTGTAGCGTTATCTTTGGAAAGGAAATGTGATGCATCTCCAGATTATTTTGACTATTCAGGGCCCTGTGTGATTCCATATAAATTTTAGTATTGTTTCTTCTATTTTGGGGATTTTGCTAGGGATTGCCTTGACCTGCAGGTCATTGCCTTTTGCTTTATGGAATGCTGAAAGAGTGTCACGCTGCCCTGATGGTGCGGGGATGTTCACCTGTGGGTACTCTTTGCTCATGGCCTTTCGCGCACTTCTGGAAGGGGGACCCTTGGGTTGCAAGGAGATTGCCAGTGTCTGGGGAGAGAGCCAGGGTAGCCCCATATCAACCACCTAGCCCACAGTGGCCTTGGGTCTTGGGCCTGGACCTCACTGCGCCTCCTTGGGTAATGGCACCATGGCCCAGGTCAAGCCTGGCCTTCCGCTTCCCAGGACCTTCCTGGAGGAAACGCTGGAGGGCATGGTGGGCTGGGAGAGAGCTGCTCTCCTCCTCTTGGGCCTACCACCCTTCTGATGTGCTCCTTGGTCCCCTCCTTCCTCGTGGTTTCTGCCTCCCGCGCGGTCTGCTCCACATAGTGTAGGCAGATCGTGGGGGGGGGTGTTCCTCAGCACCATGGCTGCACCTGAGGGATTTTGTGTCACATCCTAGGCCTTTCCCGGCCCCTCCCCCAGCTCTCTGTGTGTGCTGTGGTTCATAACCTTCACGGAATCCCTGGAAACTCAGCACCCTGTCTGAGACTGCAGATGGGGCAGTGCCCTCTGTGGGTGGTAGCTGCCAAGCACCATGGGCGGACAAGAGCTGCAGACGCCAACCAAATGGCGCCTTGGCCACTTCTCAGCCGGTCGCTTTGGGTGTGTGGACATCAGAGTATTAAGTCTTGCAGTCTGTGAAGATGGGTGTCTTTCAGTGTTTTTTTTAAAATGTGTGTAATGCTAATTTTTAGGAGGCATTGAAAAAATTGAGAAATAGAGTGGATTCCATGTGAGATTGACAGATGATTTTTAAAAATGAATTTATGATCTCTTACTTCATGACATTTGATTTTAGAGATTTAATAAGTTACTAACTGTTCATATGACTTTAGTGCTCACAAAAGTAGAAATACCCCATTCAATTTACAGCTGATATTCTCCCAGATGGCCAAGTGAGCACCGTTGCTGCATTTCTCTCTAATTGTGTGACTTTGGGAGCTCTCGGGCCCCTTGTCTCTGCTTGCTCATACGCCTGTGTCTGACATTACCTTGCCGTGTTCTCTACTGAAGGGAACTCGCTCTCTCTGTCTCTTCCTTGCTCTCTCTCTCTCTCTTGCTCTCCCTGTCTCTTGCTCTGTCTCTCGCTCACTGTCTTTTGCTCTCTCTCACTCTGTCTCTGTCTTTCTCTCTCTCTCGCTCTCTGTCCCCCATTTCTCATTCTCTCTCTCTGTCCCTTGTCCCTCTCTCTGTCTGCCCCCCTCTGTCTCTTTTCCTCTTGCCCGCTCTCTCTTGCCCTCTCTCTCTTGCCCTCTTTCCCCTTCTTAGTTACCCTCTCACGAGGAGGGAACAGTGAGAATAGCCAGTGGAATTTTTGTCCCCCTCTCTTCTCAAGCACGAGGCCACCTTTCCAGACGAGCCATGCTCTCCGGGTGAAGCACCTGTATGACAGGCGTGACATCTGAGAGTGCCACATCAGCTCTGGGGGTAAAGAACCACTTGGGTTGATCTCAATAGGTCGTAAAAAGACTGTGGATTTGAAGCAACCGTCATGTCCTGTGTTGGGACGGATACAGAGAATGTGGCTTATATGTGCAGTGGAACATTAGTCAGCCTCTTAAATACAAAGCAGGAAGCCCAGTCATCAGCTATAACATGGGTGAGCCTGGAAGGCATGATGATAAGTGAAATGAGGCTGTCACAGAAAGACACCGACTTTGTTTCCACTTGATTGAGAGACCTTCCGTCAGACTCGTCGAAACAGTGGAATGGTGGTTGCTGGGGGCAGGGGGAGTCAGGAGGCAGAGAGAGAGCCTCCAAAAGAGCTGGGCATAGTGACTCACGCCTTGTAATCCCTGCTACTCGGGAGACCAAGGCAGGAGGACCACTTGAGTCCTAGAGTTCAAGACCTGCCTGGACAATATACAAGGGAGGACCACCCCCCAAAAAACTAGAATCACCTTTTGGAGGGTGGGCTCCTTGGAGAACACTCATAGTTTGTTCCTCCGGATCAAACACTCAACCAAAGTTTTTACTGGAAGTTTTGAGAAGGTTGAGTCACGGCTTGCAGAAGAAATGTCCCAAATTGTGGCAAACAGGTAACAGTTTCTTCTGCCATGACAGTGCACCTGCCCACACCACACGGAGTGTCCAGCAGTTTTTGACCCGAAACGGCATGAGCCCCATGCCCCTCTCTATTCATCCGGTCTCATTCCGGGTGACTGTTTTTTGCTTCCCCAGTGAAGAAAGTCCTCAAAGAGAAACGTTTTGCTGATGTGAGAGAAATGAGACGAAAAACAGCAGAAGCACTAAAAGGCATGAAAGTTGATGGGTTCACATGCTGTTTTGAGCAATAAAAAAGGCATCTCAGTAGGTATATTGCATTAAATGGAGAGTACTTTGAAGATGACTAAAGTTTAAACATGTTAAAACAAATATACACGTTTTATAAATTCTGGATTTGGGGGGGTCCCCCTCGTAGTGAGACCCGGAGAGCCACGCTTTCTACTTTAGTGAGCATTGAAGTCATATAAAAATAAAAGTCAGCAGGCGTGGTGGTATACTCCTGCAGTCCCAGCTACTTGGGCAGCTGAGGCAAAAGGACTGCTGGAATCCAGGGGCTCAAAGTACTATGAGCGGTGAGCCATGAGCGTGCCCTAGTGCTCCAGCCTGGGCAGCAGAGTGAGACTGTCTCTGAAAAAACAGAAAGAGCACCATGGGTGTGAGTTGAGATGGACTTCATGCAAACTCGTTCTCTGCTCTTGTTCTCTCCCAGGAGTTCTGTCAAGCACTTCAGCAGCCTGATGCTAAAGTTTTCAAAAATTACTTAAAGGTACGTATTTGGGAGATGCACCCGTCTCCATATGATTGGTGATGTTTGGGAGCCGAGGGAAATACACACAGGCTGGGCTTGACCAAAAGGCATTGACTGTGGGATTTCCTGGCCCTGGACGCTCCTTCTCACAGTCTTACGGATGCTTCTTGGAGGTCCTTTCAACTAAGTGTTTGCAAAAGAGCGTGAGAAGCGGGTAAGCACACTGACTGGGACACCTCCGGGGAACTGGGACGAAGTGCCTGTTATCTTGGCCAGACACAGGGCCTCACGCTTGGAATCCCAGCACTTCGGAAGACGGAGGCACAAGGATTGCTTGAGACCAGCCTGGGCAGCGTAGTGAGAGCCTGTCTTAAGTTCAAAAAAAAAAAAGAAATATCTGTTTTCTTGAGCAGTTTCATGATGTCATTGAATAGGAACCAGAGGATTGGGAGAACAAGAAATGGTTGGGAAGAGCTGCCCGTGTTGAGTTGCGAGGAGGGAGCCCAACACATAAAAACTCAAGTGTGGGTTATTTGCTTCTACCCCATTCTAAAACGTTTGAATTATGAAGCAGACAAGAAGGAGAATCCTCAGGCCTGGCCATCAAGGCTCTTTCTTACATGAAAAAAAAAAATCACTGCTCTTTTTTTTTTTTAAACCCTGTGAAGTCCATAAGAACATCCAATGTTTATCTGGTATTCAGTATTGTGCTTTAATTCATGAGATGCAGCTGTCCTGGTCTTGCCTCAGTGGCCGTCCATTTCTTATTCACACACAGCGGATGCTAGAGTAACGGCTGCAAACGCCACCACGGGTGTTTTTCTCCACTCATGTTCTAGAAACAGAGTCATTGTATGATAGGGTGAGGAGCTGTTTTTTATTTATTATCTTCATTCTTGAAATTTGAGGACAAGGCACTGTGTTAAATTTCCAGGTAGCAGGTAACTTGTGTGTGGCTATCTGGTTCTTTTGTCCAAGACATTCAGTGGAATTTGTATCAAAGGGCTTTGCAGTGTAAGTGATGAAGTGTGCCATCCTTTGACGGTGGGTCTAACATCTTCCCTTGTCAGTTTTTTTCTTAGTTGTAGCGTGGAAGAATGTTATCATTGGGAGCTCTTCTCTCCCCAGAGTGTCTGTGAGGGTAACCTGTGTTAAACATAACCCTTCAGTCACTGGATCAAAGGACTCAACAAACATCACCTCCATGAGAGGTGTCCGGCAGTGGGTGTAGGGTAGGGCCTTGCAGAACGCTAGTACTCCCGTGTGTGGACTGGTCTGCATGGATGCAGCCCACCCCCCCTTCAGGGGTGGCCTAGCCGCAGTGAGTGCCTCCTCTCAGCGTAGCCTGGTTTTCCTGGTTGATAGCGTGAAGTTTACCCTTGGGAGCCTGATCTTCTCTTGGCCTGGCTGGCCCCAGGTCCTGCTGACAGCTTCCTCCTCCTCCCTCCTCTGTCTCTGCTGCTGCTGCCCTGGCGTGGGCCGATATTGTCTTACTCTGATCTCCCCTGGCTTGTTCTAGCCAGGCTGCTCTGTTTGAAAACATCAAACAGTCCTTTGAAGTTGATTCTTCTTCCTCATAGCCTTCTTAAGCAAGTTCATGTTTTCTTAGTTTTGCACTAAATTTTTTTCTCATATTCTGATCACGGCTACCTTTTCGGTTTCTTTTGCAGAAAAGTTCTTAGCGAGTCTTGGGGTTCTGCAGAAACCCCGTCCTCCTGACAGCCCAACTTCCACATGAATTCTGCCCACTCTTGAGGCTGGCCTTCAGCTGCCTCTTTGTAGGACTTTGTTTTGCTCGTGGGGTGATGATTCTTTTCTCTGCGTTCGTCAGTAGGTCACTTGTTAGTTGAACCTCTGGGGTGCTAGCCGTACAGTGACCAGTGCCGTCCTCGTCCCTCTTGAGTGCACTGCCTGCCACGCCTGTGTCCAGTGCTCACTGACCTGCACCAACTGGACAGCAGTGTGCAGGCAGGCCGGGCCTGGCACAGCCTCTAGCACAGGGGTCCCCAACCCCAGGCGGCCATCTATGGCCTGTTAGGAACCAGGCCACACAGCAGGTGGTGAGTGCTGGCAAGCAGAGCTCTACTTCCTCTCAAGTCAGCAGCAGCATTAGATCCTCAGAGGGGTGCAAGCCCTACTGTGAACTGCGCCTGCGAGGGATCTAGGCTGTCACTCCTTAGGAGAATCTGATGCCTGAAGACGGCCCCTTCCCTCCCACCGTCCTTGGCCCCAAGCAGGTTGGGGGCCACTGCTCTAAAAGACTCCTTGATGGTCTCACATAGTGACTTGGAAGCACTGTTTGAGGAATCAGAATTGCTTTCTTTGGCTTTACTCGTTTCTTCCCTGGAATTTAACCTCCCAATATAAACTCGACACGGTGCCAGTTAGTCAAAAGGTGTGTCCATCTTCTCTGGCCACTTGGCTTTGATGGCCTTAGAGATGTGCCATATTTTCACCACTTTCCCAGCTGGTGACGTCAGCACGGTTGATTCCTGGGCTCCACCTGACCTCCAGAGCAGAGTTTTTGTCTTGGCTATGTGTGCATTTGTGCAGTGTGTGGCATGTGTTAGGACCCATTATAGGCTATGGAAGAGCGCCCAGCATTTGGAAACCTGGGGGCCTTCTCCAGGTGGAAAATTTTGGCAGTGCCTCTGGATGTTGGTGTTCACGGTACTGACGCTCCATTTACAGGTGTTCTTCCAGAGAGCAAAGCCCTGAGGACCGGACTGCCCATGCCACTTCCCGAGCAGGAACTCCGCTACTAACTGAGAAAAGCTGCGGCCTGTGTGTGCCATTCATTCACACGGGTCTTTTTAACATTGTTTGAGCTTCCTGCAGTGTCTGTTCTGGGGTTTTTCTGTAAGATGGGTGTGATTTTCCCTAAATCCAGGCATGTGACAACAAGAGAAGTTACGTGCATGCCAGCTCAAATTGTTCTATATAAAAATGCTGTTTAAAGACACAGCAGAGTTATTCTAGTACCTTAATCCTTTTTTATTTGAAACTCTAAGCCCTTTATAAAGACCATAGCAGTGGAAAACAGTGTACTTTTTAAAGAACTGGTGAATATAAAATGTTTAAAAATTTTAATTTACTTTTGTGTGCAGACACAAAGTACAACAATCAAAACTAATTTTTTGTAGATAGCCATTACCTTCTTTAAACTGTTTCAATGCCAATATGTATTCTACAAAGAAGAATGGTTTCATAAATTAATTGATTTAAAAGTAGGTGCCGGTGTTATACTTTTTTTAATAAAATAAATAAATTTTATGTAGTGAAATATATCAAGTCTTTTCTGGAATTATTATAACTACTTTGGTCTTATTTTCTCATCTTACTGTCTCCCTGATTTTCCATTTAAAAATTTGCAACTATGAGTGTGTAGATGCTTTATTTCATTTATGTTCCTAAAAGGTTACGTGTAACTTGGCCTGTTACATAAGAGTCAGAATGTCATGAAAAAGCCTGTGTGGATCTGTTGACAGAATTTAAAATTCCATTTTTTTTTCCTAACTCTTTTACCTGGATGTACTTAGAGCACAGTACATCTATGTGTTTCTGCTCTTTGGCTATATGTAAATGGTCGCTGACCATTGCATTACTAGGTACTTACCCCTGCCTTTCTCCATTTTTATTCATGGCTGCTTGCAAAAGCAAAAGGAAATAGCAGTTACCAGTAGCAGCATGGAAAGTGGAGAAGAGAGGGGGACCCAACCGCAGCCGAATCACTCCAGGCATTTACGCTAAAATTCCCAAACCCAGTTCAGACTGTCAGGAGGGTCTGTTTGTCGTCCCCTTGACCTGTGTGTCTCAGCTTTCATGGGCAGGCTTCTGTGGCCTGTAATCTCCCTAAAATCTTACTCTAGATTCTGCATGTGAGTATTTTTCTGGGTTTAATTCCAGAAGAAATTTGAAACATACGTCTTACATCATGGAATAAAAGTATTTGACTAAATTGACTGTTAATTGTAAAAAATAGAGGCGGGGAATGTATATTATACTTTAATAAAACTGTCTTTAGAAACAGTTAAGTGAAAGCGGGTGTTTCTTTCATAGCTTCCCCTGAACTGTGGGCGTGGCTACTGCATCCACTGCAAGTGGCATCTGTTCAAAGAACACGAACGAGTAGCTGAGTACAGTGGCTAGTCCAGACACAGGCTGAGGAGGTTCGGGCACCAGGTCTGCAGTAACTGGGCTGCAGGGCCTTGAGCAAGTTCAGTAACGTCTCCCTCCCTGGGTTTCCCTGTCTGTAAAATGGGGGAAATAACAGTAGCTCCCTCACTCACTGAGAATCCAATGAGCTAAAACACGAAAGACTGTTACAGCAGCCGGCACAGAAAGCCTTGACGTCGGCTTCCATGGATGCGTGATACGAGCGTGCAAGGAATCAGTGCAAGACTGCGAATTCCACATATGGAAAGTGTTCTAGCTCTGTAAAGCCTTCAGAAGATTCACATGTGTTGAGGTAGGAGAAGTCAGGACACAGGAACCGAGCACATAACAAATTAAACGCTGTGTTGTATAGTCACGAGTGATGCTTCCCGTCATCACCTGCTGCCCACAAGGAACGCACAGAAGCACTCTAGGGGAAGTCTCACCTGCTGTCGGCTAAAAGCCTTGGGGACTGGAGTGACTTGTCAGCAGAGCTGCAGGGTTTGTGATGCTTGATCCAGCCCTGTGCCAGTTTATTTACATCTTTTTCTTGGGTCTCTGTCGCCCAGGCTGGGGTGCAGTGGCATGCTCATGGCCACCCCAGCATCAACCTGTTGGGCTCCGTGGATCCTGCCACCTCAGCCTTCCAAGTAGCAACACACACCACCACACCCAGCTAACTTTTGATTTATCGTAGAGGAGGTATTGCTGAGTTGCCCAGGCTGGTTTCGAACCCGCAGGCTCAGGCAATCCACTCGCCTCTGCCTCCCAAAGTGCTGGGATGACAAGCTGAGCCACTGAGCCCAACTTATTTACATCTTAACATTAAATCAATTTACCACCAAGCAGGTGTGGTTATGTGTGGTCACATGTGAATCAGGGCCGTCCCTCCATTTCCTGCTTGGCGCTGTGAGTCTCTGCGGGAAGGACCTTGGACAGTCTTCACTTGCCTTTAGTAGAGAACTGAAATTAGAATGATTCCATGACCTGCAGAGTGTTCAAAATTCTAATAGTGACTTCTCCGCCAAGAATGCCTTAGAGTGGACTTTGTATCTCCGCTGTGCCTTTGGCAACACACAGGTGAGAAACTTGCTTGAAAGTCAGCACTTTGGGAGGCAGAGGCGAGAGGATTGTCTAAGCCCACTGGTTCGAGACCAGCCTGTCCAACTTGGCAAGACCTGACTCTACCATAAATTTAAAAATCAGCCAAGTGTGGTGGTGCGTGCCTGCGGTTCCAGCTACTTGGAAGGCTGAGGCGGAAGGATCGCTGGAGCCCAGCAGGTCGAGGTTACTGGGGCCACCAGCGTGCCACCGCATTCCAGCCTGGGCGAGGGACTCCGACTCAGGAAAAAAACAAGTCAGCACTTGACAGGGAGCGCAGCCCCGGCCAGTTCCGTGAAGGGGCCTGCGGCTTGGCCCCCACCTGGGAAGCACCATCTTCCCCCCCACTCAGGAATTCACCCCCGGGCTAGCGAGCGTCTCTGTGTCCCCCGCGGAGGTGGGGAGAGGCCTGCGGTGGGCAGAGGGACCCTTCCAGGGTTGGCTGCCTGGGACCCTGGCGGCACGGACCTCGCGGGCCCGCGCTCGGGCACTTAAGCTTCAGTCCTCAAGTCCTCGCGTTGGGGACGCCTGTCCTCCGACATCGCCTCTCCAAAACACAGACGGGGAGAAGGAACGGGGGGAACCTGCACGTCTAGGCCGGGCG